AGTTCCCTTTTTTCTACCGGATGCTCCCAAAAGAAGGAATTCAATAAACAGCAATGGTTAAAAAGAACCAGCATTTCAGATGGACCACAGTGGCTCTTGTTGCTCCAGAAAATGAAAATGGAGAAAAGTTCTTCAAAACATTAACACCTTTACTCACCCAAAATGGCATTTGTGCTGTTTTCTCACAAAGCGTATCTGGGTATAATATGAATTTTTACAATTTGCACCCTGATTTATACCTCAGGTGGAAACAAGTCAATGTATTTATTTACTATGCAGAGCCCACTTTGCATACTATCTATTTCTATGGAATGGCATTCATTGACCATATGTTGTGGCTCTTGATAAAACCTACTGTAGGAAAAATCTGGATCGTAACAGCCATGGGAGATCTCACTTTGAATTTGCGGGATGAAAAATTCAAACACGTTCACAGTATTTTCACCTTTTCTATCCAGACAAAGAACTGGATAAAAGATGATGTTCTTGACCAATTTTTCCCTTCAATCTTTGAGTTTGGCAACAAAGCTTTTCTTTGTTCATTTCAAAAGCATCCCTTCTCAGTTAAAGGCTGGTTGAGATGCAAAGAGAATGAGGAAATGGAAAGTCTACGACAGGAGGAGGTTGAAGCCACCCTTTCTCTTGACAGCCACCATGTTTACAACTCCATCTGGGCTGTGGCACGAGCCCTGAATGCTGTCTGTGTCTCCAGATCCAAGAGGAGGATGCTGAAGGAAGGTGGACAGACCTTGGAACTGGAAGGGCTACAACCTTGGCAGGTATTTCCTCTTTCCATCAAAGAATCTCAGATGAACACAACCATTACTTTTAAAATTACTTATAGAGAAGAAATTTAGCAAATGAAGAGGGGAAGCCAGATTGTTCTCAAAAGATAATCCCCAAAACAATCCATCAAACAGATGACTCTCTCTTGCCTACATTAACTATAATGTTTGTATGGTAGATAAAAGGAGGGAGGAAAAGACTAGGATAACAAGGGCAATTGGAAAATGTTATGTTCTGGATCCTGCTACATGTTGGTCCCATTTGTTCCACCCTCAACTTTCCTCCCTTCTTGCAGGCGATGTGGTAACAGCTGCCACATCTGGTGAGACCCCTCTGTCTCTGGAGAACGGCGTTTTCCCTGCTCCTTCTCTGCAGGAAGCTGCCATCCTCCCATCCATGCGAGAGGGTCTTTTTCACAGGATTAATCTGGCTGCCTCTCTTGGGGCCTTCCATCCTCCTAACCAGTCATGCTAATTAGGCAGCCCTGTAAATTGAATAAATGCATAACCCAGTTTCTAATTAAGCATTAGCTTGTATCTACAGTGAGCCCTCCCACCCTTTCTCAGGCTCCCCCCCCCCCGCCCAAGCCTCTCTACCAAAATAGGTGGTGCTAGGACCCTAACCAAGGTGACTCAATTCTTGATTTTCTACATTATGTCCTTTCTGCTGCTTATTTCTTTAACTGTTAAACTAATAGTAAGTTGAGTGATTCAGATTCAGACTGGGATTAGTACAACAAAGAATACTCGGGTGTGAGGAGCAAAATGTGCCCAGTGAAGTGGCCAAAGAAGGGTTTCCTGAAGAGAAGTTTATACTTCTATGTTCACAGAGACATTTGAAGAAAGGGTGAAGTTTGTGGCTCAAGCTGCTTCTTAAATTGATCAGTAATGTGGTCAGGCTCCTGCTATCCATCTCAAACTGGGCAAAAGGTTCCCAGAAACTCAACACAGAATGTCTATCAGCTCATATTTAATCTCAATTCACAACTGAACCCGTTCCCAGCAGCTCATTTCCTCTTCCCTCAAGACAGACATCTCCAGGTTGAGTTCCAGGCACTTCACCTTCCAACTTTTCGATGGAAAACCAACTTTATGTTTCCCACATTCCCTCTTAAGGGGCAGTTGATTATGGACATTCCTGTATTCTTGCTCTGGGAAACTCCTTCTACCGATGTACCAAGCACAAGTGAAGTCCCTCTCTTCTGGAAGAGAACTGGAGATGAAAATGCAGATACACATAGTAGGTCTAGATTTAGATTTAGAGTTAGAGTTCAAATTACTGTAGTTGTTGTGGAATTTTTTGCCAAAGACAGGAGTGCAATTCTGAGGAGAAGAACCACGTTTATTGCAATGATCATCAGGTGCCTGCTTTCAAGGAAGAGGGATTTGAACAATGTAAAAGCTCAGAATTCAAACACTTTTGAGCTTGAGAGGCAGGAAATCTGAAGGATCTGATTGGAGGATAGCTTTGGATAGGTATTAAATGGGGGAGAAATATTTTTTTCTATTGTAAGATAAGAACCCGGGCAAACCCTTAACAAGACAGATGATGCCCCCCCCCAATTGTTTCTGTACGATAGTGTCAAGAGGGCTATTTTTGGCAGTGGAACATGGTCACTCTTGGCTCATGCACTGGCTTGGAGCTGATCCTGTTTTGCATGAGGAAAGAATGGCAGGAGGAAGTAGAAAAAAGAGATTGCAGGAAAGGCAAGGGCGGGGGGAGTAAAGAGTTTACTGCAGGAGAGGCAAGGGGGAGAGGGGGAGTTTCCAGCTTTATTTTATTATTTTCCCATCATATAGTATTCAGCTTGGAGATAAATATATCACAGTGATAATGTGTCCATCTAAAGGCTTCAACTTCCAAATCTCCTACCACAGGGAAAAAAGTATTCATGAATAAAATTGGGGCCCTTCAAACATGAATGAGTTTCATAGCCATTCAAGTAGAGAACCACAATCAATCAGAATTGAAGAGGTGACTGCAGCTGGCCCTTCACGTCTGGGCTTAGAAGCTGTGGAGGGTGAGGCCTAGGGAGGACAGGGATGGGACACCACCAGAAAGTCCTAGGGCTGTAAGCTAGGCTGAGAAATTGGGGGGGGGGGGGGAAAAAACACTGTAGAAGAAAAGTAGGGCAGATGATACCGATGTTCCTCCTTGTCCTGGAGGCCTTTATCTATCTAGTGAATCAGAAGATCTTAGCTTGAGAATGGCACAAGAGAGACTCATTCTATCTTGTACAAAAGGCTGCAACATTTTTGTTGTCAATTTTCTTCCCTTTCTAGCTCCATCCTTTCCTGCAAACCCCCCAGTTTTACAACCATTCCATGGATGGGGTGTATTTGGACAATAACGGAGAGCTGGCAGCTGACTTGGAGATGGAGAACTGGTTATGGTTTCCCAACAAGTCTGTTGTCAGAGTGAAATTTGGGAGCTCTCATCCTTTCCTGCAAACCCCCCAGTTTTACAACCATTCCATGGATGGGGTGTATTTGGACAATAACGGAGAGCTGGCAGCTGACTTGGAGATGGTGAACTGGTTATGGTTTCCCAACAAGTCTGTTGTCAGAGTGAAATTTGGGAGCTCTGCAAGACAGAAATCTCAGGAACCCAAGTTTGTCATCAACCAGGATGCTGCTATCTGGCCCCAAAGGTTTAGCAAGGTGGGGAAAACCATTTCATTCCTATTTCTCCTCTTCAGCATAGTCATTATTCAACACATTCTCTGTGGAGCTTCTTTGAAGTCTCTGAAGCCCTTCAGGGCTTCAGAAGAGTTGCAAAGAATCTCTCCTGACCTTTGTGGCTTACATGTTCCACTGCTACTCCTGATTAAGGGAGTCCGGATTCCCAGTTCAAATGATGCTATTTTGCTTTTATATTTATAATGCTTTCTGTAGTTGTCATGTTTTATAGATGTGGACTTGGGAGCCACCAGTCCCAAGATGCCTGCAGACGAAAACTGATGATGAACAGTAGATAAATATGCCAAAAATTGAAGCAACAGATTCACTGCAAGACAGAGTTTATTTATTTATTTGTTTCTTTTTTATATATGCAATTTTGGACTGATGTAATCATGTGCCTCATGGTGGTTTACAAAAATGAAACACGCATAATACAATAACCAATTCCTAAAATGCTAGGCTGGAAGAACTCCATTTGACCATTTCTCTCAAAGGCCAACAGAGTCAAGGCAAACCTAATCTCTCACTGTAAACTATTCCACAGTCTGGCGGTGAAAAAGAAGAAACATCTCCTCCTAGTCTCAGATCCCTTGATCTCCCAGAAGGGAGATTCCTGGATAAAGAGCTGCTTCTGTTAAATGGACCTAGTCTACCATTTCTTTCCTTTGAAGTCAACCCAAATTTACCGTCCTTTATGTTCCCCTTTTTCTGCTCAGAGTCTACCTCCCTCCAGGTGTGTGGAAAGTTGTCAGTCTGGATTTTTCAAGGTGGGTCAGGAAGGGGAGCCCATCTGCTGCTACGACTGTGTTTTCTGTGCAGAGGGGACCTTCTCCTCTCAGGAAGGTGGGTGACTCCAAAGTGATGTAGCCTTTCAATAAGAAAGCTAACACTTCTCCCCATGTGAAGATCCTACCTTGCTTGGTTTATTTCTGAAACATATTAAAAAATAAACAGACCACGAAGCCAATGTATGAAAGATGAACTGCTAACTCATTTGCATGTATCCTCCATCAGGGTTAAAAAGCAGAAAAGTGCCCTCAGTGTTTAGCAAAGTTGGTCACAGTCCCTAAAATTTCACCTTCTTTTGTTGTTTCTGTTTCTTACCCCATGCAGCGTCTTTGCTGGTGGCATAGAAAAGATTAGATTGGTGGCTGAACCTGGTAAATGTTACTTTCTTCACTTCAGATGCAGATCATTGCACCAAATGTCCAGAAGACCAGCATCAAAATAAGGAGCGAGATAAATGTGTCCTGAAGGAAGTAAGCTTTCTGGCCTACAATGAATATCTGGGGACCATCTTGGCTTCCCTTGCCCTTTCCTTGTCCTTACCTACTCTATTTGTACTAGCAATCTTCATTAAATTCCAAGAAACACCTATTGTCAAAGCCAACAACCGGGACCTCTCTTACATCCTCCTTGTCTCACTCCTGCTTTCCCTCTTGACTACCTTCCTCTTCATTGGCCGGCCAAGGAGAGCCACTTGCCTTCTCCGACAGACAGCCTTCAGCATCTTCTTCTCGATTGCCGTCTCTTCTGTCTTGGCCAAAACAGTCACGGTGGTCCTTGCCTTTCTGGCCACAAAGCCAGGGAAGAGAGTGAGGAGGTGGCTGGGGAGGAGTCTGGCCAATTCCATCATCCTTTCTTCTTCCAGTATCCAGGTGGTCATCTGCAGCATCTGGCTGGTGATCTCTCCCCCATTTCCTGATTCTGACGTGCATTCCCAACTAGGAGAGATCATCCTGCAGTGCAACGAAGGGTTTCTTGCCATGTTTTATATTGCTCTTGGCTACATGGGCTTCCTGGCTTCCATCTGCTTCATGGTGGCTTTCCTGGCCAGGAACCTCCCTGGGGCCTTCAATGAAGCCAAGCTGATCACCTTCAGCATGCTGGTCTTCTGCAGTGTCTGGGTGTCCTTTGTACCCTCCTACTTGAGCACCAAAGGGAAGTACATGGTGGCCGTGCAGATCTTCTCCATTTTGGCCTCCAGTGCTGGCCTGCTGGGCTTCATCTTTTTCCCTAAGTG